GTCCACCCCGCCAACCGACACCTCGTCAGCGACAATGCCTCTAGTCGCCGAGGTCGGAAAGTTTGCTGCAGAGGACGTCGAGGCCGTCCGCCCTCCTTCCCCTCCCTCTCCGGCCTCTGCCCCTCTGCTCCTGGCCGACCTGCGCGGGCTGACCTCGGTGTTGGCCTCCGGCGATGAGGGGAGTAGTGGGCCGTCGCCTTCGGCGCCGACCAAGGGCATCGCCGGTGGCCGATGTGACGAGCGGCAAGTCGACGTGGGATTGAGGCCGACGTCGAAAGGGGAGGAGCAGGTCAAGGAGCAGCAGCCGACAGGGGAGTGGGTGACGAAGGAGGAGACGCCGAGGAGTCCACCAAGAGTGACGTGGTGGAGGTTAAGCCTGAACCCCGGAAGTCAGGCCGACTTCGGAGGCCACCCGACATTTTCGTCCCCGCTGCCTTCACCACGGTGTACGACGTGGACTACGACGACCTGGCGTATGACGACGCCGAGGAGGATGAGGAGTTTTCGGAGCTCGACCCCGACATGCATGCCGACCCCGAGCATTGCTGGGACATCTTGACCATGACGGTGAAGGAGGCGTTGGCGAGCTGGAAGGGCCCGGCGGTGAAGGCCGCCATGGAGGAGGAGATCCGCAGCCTCATCAGCATGGGGACTTGGGAGTTGGTCGAACGCCTGCCGGGAGTGAACGTCATGAAGAGCCGGTGGGTGTTGACGACGAATTACCACGTCGACGACACCGTCGAGCGCGAGAAGGCGAGGCTGGTTGTGAAAGGCTTCACGCAGATGTACGGCGCCGACTACGACGAGACGTTTGCGCCGGTGGGCAGCTACGTCACGCTGAGGATCTTCCTCAGCATCGTCGCCGTCCGCAACCTCAACCTGATGTAGCTCGACATGAAGAACACCTTCTTGCAGAGCAAGCTCGACAGGGTGCTCTACATGTCCCAGACGGACTACTTCTACGACGGGACCGGCCGGGTGTGCAAGCTGCTGAAGAGCCTGTACGGGCTAAAGCAGTCGCCGCTGCTATGGTACTTGGCGCTCCACACCGTGCTGGTCGGCGCCAGGTGGAAGAAGAGCCAGGTCGACGAAGCTCTCTACTTCAAGGTCGGAGAGGACGGAGTGGCCTGTGTTAGAGACTAAGGAAGGAGTCTATGAAGATAAGGTGCCCAAATTTCTCAAAATCGTTGGTCTCAATTTCTGGACAGAAACGTCGACTTCACAAGAAACGTTGTCGACGAAAGGTGCACTGTTAGAATCCCACGAAATTCGAATATGTTGTAGCCCTAGACCGTGGCTACATTTCCCTATTTGAATCGTATCAAAATATGAAGCATATCTCGAGTTATGTTTTTCGGCGCACTAGGGGGTATGCTGCCACAGAAATTTAACTCAATCACAATTAACTCACAAGTCCCACAAAAGAACATTAGACTAGCACTAAACCTGGTAGGAGGGGAAGAGGAGGACGAGAGGGAAGGTCCCAAGAGAGAGTCCCCAACCAAGGAAACCCCATGCCACACAATTCCCTTCCCCATAGGCAACAAACTTTGACCTTTGTCACTTTCCAACCCATGCCATCCACCTCACCTCAACTTGGCCACACTTACCAACCTGGTTTGGCTTCACCCAACCTCTTGGCAGCATCTACAGTGATGGGTTCGAATTTACCAACCCCCACAAGTCTGTACCCCATATTGAGTCAATGCCACAACTTCCCAAAGTAGCTGCAACCAAAATATATAAGCATACGAACTCCAATGTTCGTAACTTTCTTGTTTGTGCTCCGATCGCGACGATTCTTGGTTCGTCGGAAAGCTCTTGAGTAGAGGAATCACTTCAGATATCTGCTCAAGCCAAATAGCATACACACACACACACACTCACAGAAAATCCAAACCACACAAGACACAAATTTCTTGCACACGCTCACACCACGCATGCAACGCACAAACACATGATGGGAGGCAGACAGACGTGAATGCATATGGTTGCATCACACAACAGCCTGCTGGGTGCTGGTCGAGGTCGACGACCTGCTTGCCGCCAGCAGCAGCACCGAGATGCTGAAGGAGCTGAAGGAGTTGCTGGAGTCCGCCTTCGCGCTACGTGAGATCACGCCGGTGCAGAAGTACCTCGGGCTGGAGATCGTCTGCGACAGGTCGGCGGGGAAGCTGTGGCTGCACCAGCAGGGCTACGCCAACAAGCTGCGTAGGCGCTTCATCGATGAAGAGAAGACCGGGCGCACCCCGAAGATGCCGGTCTCGGTCGATGCCTACGCCGAGCTCACGTTCGATGACGAGGAGGCACAGGAGCGTCAGGAGGAGGAGTACCGGCAGAAGGTCGGCTCGCTGCAGTTCGCGGCGACGACGACAAGGCCGGACATCGCCTTCGCCTGCAGCAAGCTGGGGAGCGGCCTCACGGTGAGGAGCGACCAGCACTGGCGCGAGGTCGACCGCTGCCTCGCCTACCTCGCCAACACGCGTGACACCGCCCTGGAGTTCGGCGGTGGACCTGAGTCGCTGGAGCTGGTCGGCTACGTGGGCGCCGACGACGCCGGTGACAAGCAGAACAGGACGAGCACGGGTGGCTACGTGTTCGTCTATGGAGGGGCCGCAGTGTCCTGGTCGAGCCAGCGCATCAAGTGCGCGACGTTGTCGTCGACTAAGTCGGAGTACGTGGCAGCCACCGAAGCCGGCAAGGAAGGACGCCGACTTCGCTTCCTCCTTGCATAGTTCCGGCAGCTGGATGCCGGGAAGCCGACCGTCCTTCGGGTGGACAACAAGTCGGCCATCACAGTCGCCGGGGGCATGGGGTTGACGGGCAACCTCAAGCACATGGAGCGGCGACAGGCCTGGCTGCAGCACATGGTGAAGCGCGGGAAGTTCTCGTTGAGGTACATCCCGACCACTGAGCAGCCGGCCGACTTCCTGACGAAGGCGCTGCACTATCCGGCCTTCAACCGGTGCTTCGTCGCCATCGGCCAGGTGCGCTTGGCTGATGTGGGCAACGAAGATGACGACGTGCAGCAGTAGGTGCCATGCCCTCCTGCATGGCTGGTGCGGTGGACGACGTGCTTTGTGTTGGGTGCACGTCGACGAGCTATTCTCCGAGGAGTACTGCCGAGTGGACTTGAGGGGGGGGGCAAGCGTGAACGCGGCAGGGGAGTGTCAACGGGAGTTGTGTGTTGGCCCCGTCCACGCTTGGGCGGAGCCGACTTCGTGGTGGGGTGTACGGAAGGTATAGCCGACTTGCAGCAGTGGGCGACGCCGACTTGGGCGAGCTGGTCGACGGGGTTGGTCGACTTGCACGGGGCCACTGCAATGCCGCCGACTTGGGAAGCCGGCGGCCGACTTCAACTGGTGGTCGGCGATGTGGCACGTCGACCTGGAAGTCGGCGCCGACTTGCCAGGTCACCGACTTGCCAGGTCACCGACTTGCAAGGTCACCGACTTGCCAGGTCACCGACTTGCCAGGTCACGGACTTGCAAGGTCACCGACTTGCCATGTCACCGACTTGCAAGGTCATCGACTTGCAAGGTCACCGACTTGCAAGGTCGCCGACTTGGGAGGTTGCCGACTTCAAGAGGTCAGTCTGGAAGTCGGCGCCGACGTAGAAGGGGCGTCGACTTGGTGACGCCGACTTTGGGTAGCCGACTTGGGTGGTCGGCTGACAGCTGCAGTGGTCGACCAGGAGTGACGTCGACCTGGAGCTGGTCGACCAGAGGAGTGGTCGACCTGGTGAGGTCGACTTGGTGTGGTCGTCGACTTGGGAGGTCGACGAGCACATACAGGAGCAGCTCGTCGACATGGTTGCCCAGTCGACCAGGATACCTGGGTGATGAGGTTCTGCAAAGGAGTGCGACGGTCACCTAGGCAACGTTGGCGAGTCCGACCTCGGTGGTGGTATCCCGAGGTCGACGTGGCGGATCAGGTGGAGCCGTCAGCACGAAGATGACTTGGTGCGTGCGCTGTTCAGGTGACAAGGCTTAGCCCTCCAATCATCAACGAGCACCTGCGAAGTAGGTGCGCTGCTGTTCTACGGGAGGAACGCTGGCACGCCGTCAACCTGCAGCGTTGGCACGTTGTCGACTTTGCACTGCTGGAGCGCGGTCGACCATGTCGTGCTGGAACGCGGTCGACCATGCTGTGCTGGCAGTCGACCGACCTGAATGCTAGCTCAGATGTAGTCTTGCCATGCCAACTTGATTGTACCATTGTTGTTAATTTTCTCTAGTGAAACTCTTGCCAAATTGCTCTGTGAACTAGCAAGCAGTGTGAGCACTAGGAAAACGACTAAGAACCAACGAACGCAGAGATCACACGATCATCCGTGCCTAGCGCGTAGTCTAGCTCCCGTTGTAGTAGTTATCTCCGCATCCCAGCTCCTACAAACCCCAAGAGCCAAGATACAGTGATGTGGAACAGTGCCACACTGTCCCCAACCACGAAGGGTCTCGAAACTACCCTTCACAAGCGCCTACACCAACTGAAATGTTACACTACACAAAGTAATGTAACTAGCTTCAATATCTTGAGGTGTACCCTTTTGGCGAGCTTCGAAATCTCTTGAAGCTTGCAACCAAGGCTCGGGTTCTTCATCACAAACTCATCCTCGAGTTCTTGATGGGTCCGCTGCACACATCTGCGACACGTCGAACGTTCGACAAGCGACAAAATAGAAACGGCGCACGACAAAATAGAAACCGTGCGGGACACACAAAATGACCGCGTTACACGCGACTAGCGATAATTCGCTATAGACTTGACACACACACACTCGACATCATGACCCATCATACACACAATATTATGAGCATGAAATATATGTTTATTTCATGCACTCATACCACTCCATGCACACACGCATGCACGCACACGCACACGGACAACAAGCCGAGTGCAAACCGTAGGGTTGCACCAACACGATTTCCCCGTCCCTTAGAGGAGCCACCAGGAGTGGCAGTGGTGGTACTCTTCTCATTGCCTCTCGTGCCTCCATGGCCTCCACTGCTTCCCTCACCTCGCCCGCCACCACCCTTGCCTCCGCCTCCTCCTTTGCCGTTGCCTTTGCCCTGCTTGCGCGGCTGCGTGGCGTTGAGGGAGGAGGAGGAGGGTTGAGAGGTGGTGAGATTGACGACAGGGGTGCGAAGTTTGACCTTTGTGTCGATGATCCACTGTTCGACGGAGCTGAGGTCGGCCATGGGGTTGGCCTCGGTGAATGCGTGTTGGCGGGATTCATAATTCAGAGTGAGATTGAAGAGGAGGCTGTGGATCTGCAGAGGTTCGGAGAGGCCGGCCTGGCGGGCTTCGAGGCAGTCAGCTACTTCGCGCATTCGTCCCATATAGTCAACAGCACGTTCACAAGTAGCGAGCGTGATGGAGAAGATTTTTTGGAAGAGAATACCGACGGAGCTGATATCACGACGTTCAAACATGGCGTGCAGTTCCGTCCAGATCACGGAGGCGCGGAGTTCCCTGGCTTGGAAGCGACGCATGAGGGTGTCAGGGAGGGCGCCGAGGAGGACGGTGCAGGCGCGGTTGTCAGCACCGGACCATGCAATGAGTTTGGGGGTATAGGTTGCCATGTCAGCGTTATACTGAGCGACGACCGCAAGATGAGCGTCTCGCCCAATAACGGCTTGTGCGTAGGTCTTGGCTGCAGAGTCGTAGTCCGCCTTGCGGATGAGGTATTCACGACGTCGGTGGAGAAAGGTTTCATCTACGGCGGCTTGGAGCTCGGGAGTGGAGGCGACTTGGAGTTCAGGTTCAGGAGGAGGATTTCCAGGAGGAGGGGGGAGGAGGGGAGGATCGCCGAGGGGATCGGGTGCGGTGGGAGGGAGGGCCTGCGGGCGGCGGAGGAGGACATCAAGGACGCAGTAGGGGGGGACCCAAGCGTCCTTGAGAACTCGACGGATGCTCCCCACGAAAGAGTGTCAGTTAATAGCGGATTCGTCAGCAGAAAGCTGGAGTTTATCGACGGAGGAGTCGATGGGAGGAGGAAGGGGGTTGGGGGAGGGTGACGGGGTAGCCATGGGTGACGACCGTGGGTGGACCCGCGGCGGTCAAGGGGAAGGCGCGGGCGGCTGCGGCGTCGGGGCCGCAGCGGCAGGGACTCAGGGAGGCGGCAGCGCGGGGCCGCGACTGGGGAGGCGCGGGCGGCGACGGCGTCGAGGCCGCGGCGGCGCAGGCGCGGGGGCGCAGAGGCGGAGGCGCGGGGATGCGGCGGCGTGGGGCGGCGAGGGAGGGCGCGGGCAGCGGTGGTGTCGAGGTTGCAGCGGCGGAGGCGTGGGGACGCGGCGGCGTGGGGCCGCGGCGAGGGAGGGCGCAGGCAGCGGTGGCGTCGAGGCCTCAGCGGCGGAGGCGCGGGGACGCAGCGGCGGAGGCGCGGGGACTCAGCGGCGGAGACGCGGGGCCGCGGTGAAAGAGGGCGCGGGCGGCGACGGCGTGGAGGCCGCGGCTGCGGAGGCGCGGGGACGCGGCTGCGCGGGGCCGCGGCGAGTGAGGGCGCGGGCGGCGGCGGCGTGGAGGCCGCGGCGGCGAGGGCGCGCGGACACGGCGGCGCGGGGCCGCGGCGAGGGAGGGCGCGGGCGGCGGCGGCGTGGAGGCCGCGGCGGCGAGGGCGCGCGGACGCGGCGGCGCGGGGCCGCGGCGAGGGAGGGCGCGGGCGGCGGCTGGGTGAAGGCCGCGGCGGCGAGGGCGCGCGGGCGCGGCGGCGCGGGGCCGCGGCGAGGGAGGGCGCGGGCGGCGGCGGCGTGGAGGCCGCAGCGGCGAGGGCGCGCGGGCGCGGCGGCGCGGGGCCGCGGCGAGGGAGGGCGCGGGCGGCGTCGGCGTGGAGGCCGCGGCGGCGAGGGCGCGCGGGCGCGGCGGCGCGGGGCCGCGGCGAGGGAGGGCGCGGGCGACGTCGGCGTGGAGGCCGCGGCGGCGAGGGCGCGCGGGCGTCCACGCGGCGGCGCGGGGCCGCGGCGAGGGCGGGCGCGGGCGGCGTCGGCGTGGAGGCCGCGGCGGCGAGGGCGCGCGGGCGTCCGCGCGGCGGCGCGGGGCCGCGGCGAGGGAGGGCGCGGGCGGCGTCGGCGTGGAGGCGGCGGCGGCGAGGGCGCGTCCGCGCGGCGGCGCGGGGCCGCGGCGAGGGCGGGCGCGGGCGGCGTCGGCGTGGAGGCGGCGGCGGCGAGGGCGCGCGGGCGTCCGCGCGGCGGCGCGGGGCCGCGGCGAGGGCGGGCGCGGGCGGCGTCGGCGTGGAGGCGGCGGCGGCGAGGGCGCGCGGGCGTCCGCGCGGCGGCGCGGGGCCGCGGCGAGGGCGGGCGCGGGCGGCGTCGGCGTGGAGGCGGCGGCGGCGAGGGCGCGCGGGCGTCCGCACGGCGGCGCGGGGCCGCGGCGAGGGCGGGCGCGGGCGGCGTCGGCGTGGAGGCGGCGGCGGCGGCGAGGGCGCGCGGGCGTCCGCGCGGCGGCGCGGGGCCGCGGCGAGGGCGGGCGCTGGCGGCGGCGGCGTCGAGGCGGCGGCGGCGGCGAGGGCGCGCGGGCGTCCGCGCGGCGGCGCGGGGCCGCGGCGAGGGCGGGCGCGGGCGGCGGCGGGGTCGAGGCGGCGGCGGCGAGGGCGCGCGGGCGTCCGCGCGGCCGCGCGGGGCCGCGGCGAGGGCGGGCGCGGGCGGCGGCAGCGTCGAGGCCGCGGCGGCGAGGGCGCGCGGGCGTCCGCGCGGCCGCGCGGGGCCGCGGCGAGGGCGGGCGCGGGCGGCGGCGGCGTCGAGGCCGCGGCGGCGAGGGCGCGCAGGCGTCCGCGCGGCCGCGAGGGGCCGCGGCGGGGGCGGGCGCGGGCGGCGGCGGCGTCGAGGCCGCGGCGGCGAGGGCGCGCGGGCGTCCGCGCGGCCGCGCGGGGCGTCTGCGCGGCCGCGCGGGGCCGCGGCGAGGGCGGGCACGGGCGGCGGCGGCGTCGAGGCCGCGGCGGCGAGGGCGCGCGGGCGTCTGCGCAGCCGCGCGGGGCCGCGGCGAGGGCGGGCGCGGGCGGCGGCGGCGTCGAGGCCGCGGCGGCGAGGGCGCGCGGGCGTCCGCGCGGCGGCGCGGGGCCGCGGCGAGGGCGGGCGCGGGCGGCGGCGGCGTCGAGGCCGCGGCGGCGAGGGCGCGCGGGCGTCTGCGCGGCGGCGCGGGGCCGCGGCGAGGGCGGGCGCGGGCGGCGGCGGCGTCGAGGCCGCGGCGGCGAGGGCGCGCGGGCGTCCGCGCGGCGGCGCGGGGCCGCGGCGAGGGCGAGCGCAGGCGGCGGCGGCGTCGAGGCCGCGGCGGCGGCGAGGGCGCGCGGGCGTCCGCGCGGCCGCGCGGGGCCGCGGCGAGGGCGGGCGCGGGCGGCGGCGGCGTCGAGGCCGCGGCGGCGAGGGCGCGCGGGCGCCCGCGCGGCCGCGCGGGGCCGCGGCGAGGGCGGGCGCGGGCGGCGGCGGCGTCGAGGGCGCGCGGGGCGTCCGCGCGGCCGCGCGGGGCCGCGGCGAGGGCGGGCGCGGGCGGCGGCGGCGTCAAGGCCGCGGCGGCGAGGGCGCGCGGGCGTCCGCGCGGCCGCGAGGGGCCGCGGCGAGGGCGGGCGCGGGCGGCGGCGGCGTCGAGGCCGCGGCAACGAGGGCGCGCGGGCGTCCGCGCGGCGGCGCGGGGCCGCGGCGAGGGCGGGCGCGGGCGGCGGCGGCGTCGAGGCCGCGGCGGCGAGGGCGCGCGGGCGTCCGCGCGGCCGCGCGGGGCCGCGGCGAGGGCGGGCGCGGGCGGCGGCGCCGTCGAGGCCGCGGCGGCGAGGGCGCGCGGGCGTCCGCGCGGCCGCGCGGGGCCGCGGCGAGGGCGGGCGCGGGCGGCGGCGGCGTCGAGGCCGCGGCGGCGAGGGCGCGCGGGCGTCTGCGCGGCCGCGCGGGGCCGCGGCGAGGGCGGGCGCGGGCGGCGGCGGCGTCGAGGCCGCGGCGGCGAGGGCGCGCAGGCGTCCGCGCGGCCGCGAGGGGCCGCGGCGGGGGCGGGCGCGGGCGGCGGCGGCGTCGAGGCCGCGGCGGCGAGGGCGCGCGGGCGTCCGCGCGGCCGCGCGGGCGTCTGCGCGGCCGCGCGGGGCCGCGGCGAGGGCGGGCACGGGCGGCGGCGGCGTCGAGGCCGCGGCGGCGAGGGCGCGCGGGCGTCTGCGCAGCCGCGCGGGGGCCGCGGCGAGGGCGGGCGCGGGCGGCGGCGGCGTCGAGGCCGCGGCGGCGAGGGCGCGCGGGCGTCCGCGCGGCGGCGCGGGGCCGCGGCGAGGGCGGGCGCGGGCGGCGGCGGCGTCGAGGCCGCGGCGGCGAGGGCGCGCGGGCGTCTGCGCGGCGGCGCGGGGCCGCGGCGAGGGCGGGCGCGGGCGGCGGCGGCGTCGAGGCCGCGGCGGCGAGGGCGCGCGGGCGTCCGCGCGGCGGCGCGGGGCCGCGGCGAGGGCGAGCGCAGGCGGCGGCGGCGTCGAGGCCGCGGCGGCGGCGAGGGCGCGCGGGCGTCCGCGCGGCCGCGCGGGGCCGCGGCGAGGGCGGGCGCGGGCGGCGGCGGCGTCGAGGCCGCGGCGGCGAGGGCGCGCGGGCGCCCGCGCGGCCGCGCGGGGCCGCGGCGAGGGCGGGCGCGGGCGGCGGCGGCGTCGAGGCCGCGGCGGCGAGGGCGCGCGGGCGCCCGCGCGGCCGCGCGGGGCCGCGGCGAGGGCGGGCGCGGGCGGCGGCGGCGTCGAGGGCGCGCGGGCGTCCGCGCGGCCGCGCGGGGCCGCGGCGAGGGCGGGCGCGGGCGGCGGCGGCGTCGAGGCCGCGGCGGCGAGGGCGCGCGGGCGTCTGCGCGGCGGCGCGGGGCCGCGGCGAGGGCGGGCGCGGGCGGCGGCGGCGTCGAGGCCGCGGCGGCGAGGGCGCGCGGGCGTCCGCGCGGCGGCGCGGGGCCGCGGCGAGGGCGAGCGCAGGCGGCGGCGGCGTCGAGGCCGCGGCGGCGGCGAGGGCGCGCGGGCGTCCGCGCGGCCGCGCGGGGCCGCGGCGAGGGCGGGCGCGGGCGGCGGCGGCGTCGAGGCCGCGGCGGCGAGGGCGCGCGGGCGCCCGCGCGGCCGCGCGGGGCCGCGGCGAGGGCGGGCGCGGGCGGCGGCGGCGTCGAGGGCGCGCGGGCGTCCGCGCGGCCGCGCGGGGCCGCGGCGAGGGCGGGCGCGGGCGGCGGCGGCGTCAAGGCCGCGGCGGCGAGGGCGCGCGGGCGTCCGCGCGGCCGCGAGGGGCCGCGGCGAGGGCGGGCGCGGGCGGCGGCGGCGTCGAGGCCGCGGCAACGAGGGCGCGCGGGCGTCCGCGCGGCGGCGCGGGGCCGCGGCGAGGGCGGGCGCGGGCGGCGGCGGCGTCGAGGCCGCGGCGGCGAGGGCGCGCGGGCGTCCGCGCGGCCGCGCGGGGCCGCGGCGAGGGCGGGCGCGGGCGGCGGCGGCGTCGAGGCCGCGGCGGCGAGGGCGCGCGGGCGTCCGCGCGGCCGCGCGGGGCCGCGGCGAGGGCGGGCGCGGGCGGCGGCGGCGTCGAGGCCGCGGCGGCGAGGGCGCGCGGGCGCCCGCGGGGCCGCGCGGGGCCGCGGCGAGGGCAGGCGCGGGCGGCGGCGGCGTCGAGGGCGCGCGGGCGTCCGCGCGGCCGCGCGGGGCCGCGGCGAGGGCGGGCGCGGGCGGCGGCGGCGTCAAGGCCGCGGCGGCGAGGGCGCGCGGGCGTCTGCGCGGCCGCGCAGGGCCGCGGCGAGGGCGGGCGCGGGCGGCGGCGGCGTCGAGGCCGCGGCGTCGAGGGCGCGCGGGCGTCAGCGCGGCGGCGCGGGGCCGCGGCGAGGGCGGGCGCGGGCGGCGGCGGCGTCGAGCATAGAAAACAGACATTCTGGCACACGCTCACAACACGCATGCAACGCACGAACATATGATGGGAGGCAGACAGACGTGAATGCAAATGATAGCATCACATAACAAGTGTGAGCACTTCTGTAGTCCAGAGAGCCACGACCCCATGTGGCCGTGTAGTCCGGGGCGTTGCGCCTGGTAGCCACAGTGTGAGCACAGAGAGCCAGCTGCGCCTGTCGCCGTGTAGTCCGGGTTTAGCCTGGTAGTGACAGTTCTGCGCACTCCTGTTGCCCGTGTGTCTGCAGCTTCAGCCGTCGTCTCGCATCTTCTCGCCCCCACAGTTTCACCTCCTCCTCACTTGCCCTCTGTGATTGCCTCTAGCTTCGCATAACACTGTGATCTATTGCTCTACCTGCTTGTTGTGCTGATTATACCCCACTTTGACTATGGGGGTGTGTCAAAATATAATGTTTGTCTAGCCTGCAGTGGGGTACTCTATAGCGAGTACAGCCCAAATTAGGGTTTGCTATATGTACTCACCTGCCTGCTAGTGAAAACCCCTCTTTCCTGTGCCTATAGTTCTGACAGGCCGTGTCCGTGATCCTGCAGCGGTAATCCTCTGACTGCCTGGTCACTCGCGTCTGCTTCCACCACGTAGTCCTTGTTTGGATCGGACATGATCAGTATTGGGAAGGTTGTCAGGGATGTCTGTAGCTGCTGCATGGCTTGCTATTAAGTATCTGATTCTTAGGTTCTTTCTTTCTAAAATAAATTTATGAGTGGTGATGCAGTCTTTACGTACTGTGGCACGAACATGTTGTAGTAGTTGGCGAAGCCTAGGAACTACTGCTCTCTTTGAAGTTTTGTGGAACCTTCCACTTTTTGACGGCTTCGATCTTCCGCGGGTCTACCTGTACGCCCTCGACGCCCATCATGTTCTCAAGGAACTGCGCCTTCTTTATGGCGAAATCGCTCTTTGACAGCTTTACGTATAAATTTTTATCTCCGCAAGATTTTGAAGATTCTTCGCGTATGCTCCACATGCTCCTTCATGTTCTAGATGTCATAACATTATAGCTTATGCTTTTGTGTAGGCTGTAGTGGGGTATCCCATAGGGGGTACAGCCCAATTAGGGTTAGTACTTGTACCCAATTCATGCATAGTTCAATCATTTCTCGTTCTCACTTTCTCATGGTATCGAGCAGGTTCCCTCGTGGGAACTGTTCCTTGGGCCCACCGATCCTCCCTTTTTTTTTTCTGCCCGGGGCGCGTCCTGCCCCTGCCCGAAGCGCGCCTAGGGTCGCGCCCTCCTTAGCGGCCCGTCGCGTCGCCCTTAGCGGCCCGTCGCGTCGTTCTTAGCGGCCGCGTCGCGCAGCCCTAACGGCCGCGTCGCGCCGCCCTTTCACAAGCGGCCCGTCGCCGCCCTTCTCCTGCGGCCCGCCGCCCTCAACTGCGGCCCCGCCGCCCTCACCTGCGGCCCCACGGCCCTCACCTGCGGCCCCGCCGCCCTCAACTAATGCGGCCCCGCCGCCCTCAACTGCTGCGGCCCCGCCGCCCTCAACTGCGGCCCCGCCACCCTCAACTGTTGCGGCCCCGCCGCCCTCAACTGCGGCCCCGCCGCCCTTCTCTGCGGCCCCGCCGCCCTCTGCTGCGGCCCCGCTGCTCTCACCTGCGGCCCCGCCGCTTTCACCTGCGGCCCCGTCGCCCTCAACTGCTGCGGCCCCGCCGCCCTCAACTACTGCGGCCCCGCCGCCCTCAACTGCGGCCCCGCCGCCCTTCTCTGCGGCCCTGCCGCCCTCTGCTGCGGCCCCGCCGCTATCACCTGCGGCCCCGCCGCTTTCACCTGCGGCCCCGCCCCTCTCGTTGGCAGCCCCGCCGCTCTCATCTGCGGCCCCGTCACCTGCTGCAGCACCGCGCGCCACCCGGGCTTCCCGACCCGCCCCACCCAGCCGAGCAGCCGACCGCCGCGCCGCCCTGCAGCAGCACCGTCGAGCCGCCCGGGCAACCGAGCAGCCGGACAGCCGGCCGCCGAGCCGCCCAGCAGCCCTGCAGCCGAGCCGCCCAGCAGCCGAGCCGCCGTACAGTCGAGCCGCCGGACCGCCGAGCCGCACTGCAGCCAAGCCGCCCAGCAGCCCAGTAGCCGAGCCGCCGATTTGCCGAGCCGCCCTACTGCCGAGCCGCCCGAGCTGCCCTGTCCGGTGAGCACAGTGCCTCTCTTGCTACACTGCCCTCACCCTACTGTTGCACTGCTAGTCTACTGTGGTCATGGCTACCCCTAGTGTCCTCGCTTTTGACGCTGAGGGTCGAGCCATTGACTTTGACGTCTGGGTAGATGACCTGCAGCTGTTCTTACAGTGCGATAGGGCAGACGGTCTCTCTCTCTTTGACCTCACCTCAGGCGCCTCTCCTGCCCCTGCTGCTGATGCTGACTCCACTGTTCGCTCCCAGTGGGCCACGCGCGACGCTGCTGCACGTCTTGCTGTGCGTCGCCACCTCCCTACCTCCGAGCGTGCGCACTTAAGTCAGTACAAGAGTGCTCAGACCTTGTACGACGCTGTAGTTGCGCGCTACTCCTCCCCTGCCACTGCTGCACTGAGCCGCCTCATGCTATCGTACCTCTTCCCTGACCTTGCTGCCTTTCCCACTGTCGCTGACCTCATTACGCACCTCCGCACTAGTGACACTCGCTACCGTGCTGCGCTTCTTGCTGACTTCTGCGCCAAGACCCCCCCCCCCATGTACATCACTCTCTACTGCATAGTCACTCGCCTCCCTCACTCCCTTCGCGTAGTCAGGGACCACTTCCTCTCAGTTTGTCCCACCACTCTCACTGTTGACCTCCTCGAGAAGTCCCTTCTAGCGGCCGAGAAGAGCATAGTCGCTGTAGGGGCCTCTTGTGGTGACCCGCGCACCCCCATCTTTGAGGGGTGCTCCCCCTCCCCTCTTCTGCCCTCTGTTGCCTCTGCTGCTACGGCCGACCTCCTTGGTCTTGAGTCGGTCGGTGCGGCGTCCGCCCCTAGCGGGAGACGCCGCTCTGGCAAGGGCAAGGGGGGCAAAGGCGTTGGTGGGAGTGGGGGTGGCGGTGGGAGTGGAGGTGGGGGAGGAGGTGTCGTTGGCGGCAGCAGAGGCGGCAGCGGCGGTGGTGGTGGGAGCGGGGGTGGCGGAGGTGGTGGCGGTGGAGGCGGCGGCGGAGGCGGCAGTGGCAGCGGAGGCGGCGGAGGCGGCGGAGGCGGCGGGGGTGGCGGTGGAGCTGGTCGCGGGTCTACACAGAGGAGTGGTTCCGGTGGTGGCCAGCGCCAGCAGCAGCAGCGCGGTCGTGAGACCCTGTCCCCTCAGCAGCTCCGTGAGTGGTACACTGCACGCCAGCGGGGTGGGGGTTTTGGTCCGTGCACCTACTTCCTGCGCACCGGCGATTGTGCGGGTGAGCAATTTGGGGGTGCGCACCCCACCCAGCGCTGCTTTGGCCGCCTGACGGACGCGTGGCGTGGCCAGTTCCTGGAGGCCACAGAGATCCCTGGCTGGGGCGAGCTGTCTAGAGCGGGAGTTGCTATCTATGATCTTGATTTTGATGCTATTCTTTCTGCCATGTATGCTGTGTCCATTAGTGATGAGGGTGAATGTTACCGGTGTTTCCCGCCCGATCCGGGCATTGGGACTGCTGCTCTAGGTACTGGTGAGGCTGCTGCCCTAGGTGCTTGTGACGCTGCTGCTCTAGGTGCTAGTGCGTCTGCGTCCTCAGGTACTGGTGAGTCTGCGCTCTCAGATACTGCGTCGGCTTTGGCCTCCCTTACCTTCACCCTTGACTCTAGAGCTTCTCGCTCCTTCTTTCGGGACCGCACCACACTCACGCCGCTTAGTCGGCCGGTTGCGGTGTCTCTGGCTGACCCCTCTGGGGGTCCTGTCCTGTCTCACTTCTCCACAGTCCTTCCGTGTCCGGTGGCTCCCTCTGGCACCCTGTCTGGTCTCTACCTCCCCTCGTTCTCTACGAACCTGGTGAGTGGTGCTGACCTATAGGATGGGGGAGTACACCAGTTCACTCCTGCGCGTCAGCGGGTGACGCACTGCATAGAGGCTAGCACAGGCCGACACCTGGCTACGTTTACCCGTCAGCCGGGGTCGAGCCTGTACACACTGACCACTGCGTCTCCTCTAGTTGCTGCCTCGGGTCAGGTGTTTGCTGCAGCGTCCATGTCTGGTCCTGAGTCTGCCCCCTGTTCGTGTCGTCTCCTGTCTCACGAGACTCTCCTCTGGCACCACCGTCTTGGTCACCCCTCTCTGCTTCGGCTCAGAGGCATGGCCTCCGGTCTTCTTGTTTCTGGTCTCCCCCGGTCCCTCCCTCCCCTTCCTCAGGGCCCTGGCCCTACCTGTGTCCCCTGTGTCGAGGGGCGCCAGCGGGCTGCCCCTCACTCCTCCCAGTTTCCTCCGACAGAGGTCCCGCTGTAGACACTTCACATGGACGTGTGGGGCCCAGCCCGCGTCCGTGGACAGGGTCACGAGCGCTACTTCCTGCTCGTTGTTGACGACTATTCGCGTTACACCGCGGTCTTCCCCTTGCGCAGCAAGGGTGATGTCACTGAGGTGCTGATCGACTGGATCCGCGCAGCTCGTCTCCAGCTCAGGCAGAGCTTTGGCTCGGACTTTCCTGTTCTGCGTCTACACTCGGAAAGAGGCGGAGAGTTTTCCTCTGCCCTTCTGAGAGCCTACTGTCGCGCACGAGGCATCCGTCAGACCTTCACGCTTCCGGACTCCCCGCAGCAAAATGGGATTGCTGAGCGCCGCATTGGCATGGTCATGGATGTCACTCGTACCTCCCCAGCCTTGCTGTGGACGGGGAAGGTTGGCGATGCGTCGACGTTCTAGGTCTGGGGATCTCGGGCGTTTGTCCGCGACTTGTCTGCGGACAAGCTGTCCCCTCGTGCTGCTCCGTGCGTCTTCCTGGGGTTCCCCCCTGACGCGCCTGGGTGGCAGTTCTACCACCCCACCTCTCGCCGTGTTCTGTCCTCCCAGGACGTCACGTTTGACGAGTC